TAAAATAATAATAATAATAATATACATAAATAAACAAATTTATATGCACTTTCATACAAAATTTATTAATGCAGCAATTATAAGCAATAATCATTTTCTTTCAATTAAATCTTATTTATTTATAACATTGTACTTCACTATGTTTATTCAGGGCTGTGGAGTTGGTAAAAAAACACTCAACTCCGACTCCTAATAATTTTAGTAAGCTGACTTCGATTCCAACTCAACTTCGGCAAAATTAAATACCAAGTCATTTTATGGGGGGTAGAGGTACTCATATGGGGTTACCCTACTCTGAACTCTGAAAGGAGCCCCGGGCATTTACCCAAATACTTTTATAGTTAGTATTTTTAATATTTAACTTACATTAATATTTATTTGTATAAAAAAAATAAATTTTTAACAAATACTTAATAAGAGGAAAAAGGGAAGCAATAAAATTCTACATCTACATATCTTTATTCTACAGTTTTTTCACTTCACTTTCACATTTCCAGAAAAGTCAGTTCAACTAAAAAGTGTGCAATCTAGCTACTTCAGCCACTTGTTCAGAAAATAAAAATATATACATCAATCAATTAGTCTCGCTCATTCAGAAAAATAGACTATTTATTTAGAGTGGGGATAAGAAAGGAATGAATCAATGATATTCAAATTCAATTGGGTCAAAATAATTTAACTACTAAACACAAATTCTACAAAGAAAACTATTGATACATATTTAATAAATTAAATTGTTGCATTTTGTATTTAAAATAAATGAAATATAACAAAATACAAATACATTTTAAAAAATTAATAAATATAAAATAAATTTTCTTTCATTTAAATAAAAAAAACTAAATTAAATTTAAAATGCTGGAGTCAGAGTCAACACATTTTTCCCGACTCCGACTCCTCTGGCCAAAAATTCCTCTCAACTCCGACTCCACAGTCTTGGTTTATATTCACCCAACTGATTCAGAATGAATTTTTTTAGAATGGACCAATATATTGGTCAATTCTAAAAAGGCCAAATTTACAAAAGAGCTTCTCTACATTCAAACATATTAGAACATTTGAAGCATTAGAAGTTCCATCTATTTAAGAATTTTTTCATCCAAAGCATGTCTTAGAAGTAGACCAAAAAGTTTGTTTTTTCTGAAAAATCAGCTGGGTGAATATAAAGATNAATTATTTTTTAAACAAGTTTTGGCTTCTCCATTATTTAAAAAATATATATTGTTATATGTTAATCTTATCCTATTTTGAATTATTATTATGTTGTACAGTACAGGCTTCTTCTAAAAACTTTTAAATTCTTTTATATTTATAAAACCATTTTTGTGGATGTGAAAAATTCTGCATCTCTTTCATTAATAACCATATCATTAAAACTTTTTAATATTCTTGTAATACTGTTTTTAATTTTAACTGTAACATTTGCCTTCTACAATTCCATTTCTTTTTTGTTAAAGCTCTTTCCATTAAAGTTGCTTCCTTAGTTAAAATCAAACCAGAAGACATGTTTTTGAAGTTTCTCTCAAAGAATTCTCATTATTTTATTTAAATAATAAGCACTTTAATATGAAAATTAAATATTAACACAAATTTGATAATCTGCTTCTTACCATTTTTAACATTTCAGAGATCATCATTATTATTAACAATTTTACTTTAAAAATTTTATTTCATTTTCTTATTTAATCACAGAGATGTGTTAGTATTTTTTCCCCCCATCTTTATTTTGCTTCTAATCTGATACCTTAAGCTAATATATAGTAAAAAAACTAATATATTAAATTTATTCATTAATTGATTCACCAATTTACCATTATTCTATTAATAATGTTTAAATTGGGATTCAATGTATGTATTCTATTAACCAGCCTTGAAATGAACTCTAATGAAAAATATTCATGAATAAATATGTTTCTCAAATAACTTCATTTTGTAAGAATTTGTATTTTTTATAATGCTTCTCTCGATAAGCTAACAAAATCTTAATATATATTTTTATCTTTAAACAAAAGTCCTAGACATGTTAATATCTGACTGATGGATGTTATTATTAGTTATAGGAATTTTATATTTTATATACAAGTCAAAGATTTACATTTCTTAACATTTAGTATAATCTAAAATTTTTCTGGAGTTTAAGATTTTGTCTCTTCGCCACCAACTTTTTTTTAGAAATCCTTACCAAAATTTCCAAATATTTTTCGTTTCTAATGCATATCCTATCATTTATGCTTGATAAGATAAAGTAAAGCAACATAAGGACAACTTTCCAAGAAGAAACTTCCTATGGAAAACTGGCTCCTTTAGTTGTTACATTAAAAACTTTTCCTCAAGTTATATGATTCTTTGATTTATTAGCAATTTGGCAGCTAACATATTAAAGAAATGAAGCATAATTTCTGTTACTTACTCATTAGATGTATTTGCTTATGATACAAAGATTAAAAATTAATAATAATAATAAACATTAAATCAAATGTATGTTATATAAGTCTACTCAATTTAATTTATTAATGGAAATTAATAACTGTCTTTTGACATTAAAACTCTTAACACACAATACATAAAAGTGAGCACTTTCAATGATGTATTACCATCAAATATTATTCCAAATAATTCTGCCTGAGGAAGACTAATGCAGTATCAAAAGTTCTTGCTTTTATATATTGAGTGTTAATTAAAAGAGTTTTAACATCAAAAGGCAGTTATTAATTTGCATTTATTGAAAAACTCATCAATTGTGCTTTCAATTTTAGCAATTTATTACACTTTTTTATTTTCATTATTATTTTAATAATCTCATAAGTTAGTAAAGTTAAGTCATCTGTTAATGTTCTATCGTCAAATTCATATGCTCATAGTACAGAAAAAAAATTTTTCAAAAGAAATTCTGATTGTTGGATACTTTTAATCAAAGTTTGCCAGTAACTAAATCTTCAAAAAAAATAAAATAAAAATAAATTTATTTATTTAACACTTTCATATTACAAATCTAAAATATTCAAATCTTCTAGGCTGATATTAGGTTTAAAAATAAATTTAACATTCTGATATTTTTAAAGCCTAAAACATTTATTAAAAAAAATCTTTAAAATTAAGCAGAAATTCTATTTAAGATTTGCTCCACTATAACTCTAAATAAAGTATAATTTCTTCTCAATGAACATTGATTAAGATTTTGATTTATGTTTAATCATCTAAACACACATATATAATATAAAGTAAATTTTGATATATTAACATATTAATTTATCAAACTTACTATGTAACAAAGTTAAAATAAAATGAATCAATTCATAATTTATTTAAATCATTGAATAATAAAATATCTTAGCATCAAATCTTTATTAGCAAATAATTTCATATAATTTGTTGTATATACCATTTACAACAATAAATTACTAATGGAACTAAATAAATAATTTTATGTAATTCAAAATAGTTTTTATGTACAGTTTACCCTCAAAAATTCACAAAGGTCTTATTTGAAATTCTGCTACTGTCTGAATGACAAAAACATATTTTATTTGAGCAAGGCTGGACAATTTGGCAAAATTTTTAGATCTGGACTTTGTGCTTCCACATTTCCAAATAAAATTTTATTAAAT